ATGCCTTATTAATGTTGAATAGAATGGGTCGAAATTGGTTAAAAGAAGAACAATGTCATTCCATGGTTGCCTGAAAACGTCCATGCTTTTCCAGAATCGGTTGGTGAAACAAATTACACCAACAATTCGAGCCTGCGCGTCCAAAATCGCGGGAGTAAGGACAGCGATGGCCTGGGTTACAGTTCCCGTAAAACCAAGCAGCGTTAGCCACTGCAAGTAACACCACGCGCCCCGCGCGAGATCGACCGTCGTGAGATGACGGTTCTGAATGTCTCAAAATCAATTCGTACCGTTCAAAGATACGACTGGGCGTATCTCTTTTACAACTTTGTGGTTGTCCTCTGCAAAGATGAGCAGTTACAGCAACACGAAAAATAGGGATTCTACCTTTACCCTTTCAGTTCCACCACCAAATCCAGCTAGCACCACCCCTTTTTGCTGTAAATGCCAATTCATTCTTAACATCAATATAAAAATCACGCTGGGAAAATGTACGGTCGGACTACCTTCTAACTATGCGATTTAATGTTCAAAGGCATCCAAAAGCACTCCTTTTAGATTCGTGATCATTGCGTCCACCGGTTGGCCCCGAGAACGACGCTGCACGACCTATGGAGACTGTAACGCATGACGTCGAGGTTTTTGCAGCTAAGTTTCCGGGCGCGCATGTGCAAAACTACGTGCATGTATTGTTGCGTGTTGTGCTACTGTGCTACGTGCGTGTTGTATCACTAATCGATTCTGACTGTTGAGCATCTCCAGACAAAGATGGCTCGGGAAAGTTAATACGAATTGCGAACCCATTTTCGCCTACAATCTCCGTTCGCCAGGTCCATAACAGCTCTGTTCAAGCCATACAAAGATTATCACGAAGTTTCTGAGCTCTATGTTTTGCGTACTTCGGAGCGTGCGCGGCGGACCGACACCGCTACATCAGCCATGGCCATACATCATAAATGCGTGCTAAAACATATAAAACTACACACTTTTGTGCACAGAATTCAACAAAAAGCGCGCCATTTTGGGTTTCGTGTCACCACAGGATATGGTCTAGTAAAAATGAGCATGTGAAGCCGAAAAGCTCAATTTTGTAGGACAATTTGACCTTTTTGAACAGGTATCATGAGATCAATTGTTGAGCTAAAAACGGACCATGGGGTTACTTTGACGTTACTACGTGCATAACCATACTCGCCGCTAAATTTCACGCATTCGGCTCGCTGGTCGTATGCATCTACCACAAACAGTTTGTTCGTTATTGGAACGATGCAGACGGATGTGCCATCGCCAGAATGAGGCTTTATTTCTTGTGTAGGTCTTCATTTTTTAAGCCATTGTACTTTAAGGGTTTGCCGCATAAGCCTGCAAGCATGCCACTATGTTCCCCATACAACTTTAAGTGATGGGCTTGCTGGTCATGTACACCTTCAGTGATCGGATTTTTCATCATCTGTGCGAATATTCCGATGTTCCGGCTGCTCTTCAGCATCGCGTCCGGCGGCTAGCGGCCCGCCGCGCATTGTAGTCTCGACACCAGTGATGTCACACTAATGTTGAGCGAAGATGAAGCGAGAATCACCGGACGGCTTTGCGTGGTGGTGATCGGTGTTGACCGCGTATATTTGACGGCCCGAAGTGTTCGCGTGTCTTTTTGCTATCATTTTTCAATATTTTGAGGACAAAACGATATTATATGACTGTGGAGAGATTGTGAGTAGTATTCCCTCGCTTTACGAACATCAGTCCAAAATAGTCGAAATTAGCTTCGCAGGGAAAGGCTTTACTATGAGTACTGTCGTTATCACAATTATTACATTTGCAAGGCAACATTATATATTTTCGCCGCTTATTACTACTAACTGTATTTTCTGCTCTGAACATGACAATGCATGCAAAATATGTTGGTGTGAGGCCAGGTTCAAGCCTTAAGATTTACCCATCCAGTTTTGGGGAAAAGTCACACTAAGGCTGTTTTAAGTCACCAGAAGTCCGAAAGTCAGGGAGGTGGGAATTTCTATGCTGTTGCCTTATGGTATGGATAATTTGCATTTTCATTGACAAAGTATTTGCCTGGACATTAGTATTGTGATAACTGCTAAAGCTTCAACATTATGTGCTCATTGCCGTGATGGCAAACCCCTTAAGTTTACAGTTTTTCAGTAAGTACAAATCCAAGGCCCAGAGCCTTTCCTTATGTTCTGAGGAGCCAATCTCATTCATCACCATGGCTACTTTTCACTGTGCTCCTACATCTTTGGGAGGATGGGGACCAAGCCTGCACTTAATGCTCTAAATGTTGTCTGACATAAGATAAGAAGTACAACTTTTTGATACCATTCCTTCTCTTGTAATGGACAACCCTGCTGGCAGTTCCTGGCATCTGAAGTGCCTTGTGCATAAAGCCCCACATTGCTTTTCAGGCTCTATGTCCCTGGAATTACAACCAAGTCAATCTGGCCTAACTCCTGGGCCTATCTGGTCTAATTCCCAGCCTCCTATTTTATAGCTAATGTTCTCACCACCAAAACTACCCAAATGCATCACCCTACCCTGGCCATAACTTAGTTACATCTGCCATAGAGAAGTACAGCTCACTAGCTTTTCTAAGTCAGGTTGCATTTAGTTCACCTGGCCAGTATTTCTGACACCCCTTCCAAGACAAGGTAAGGTAGAGTCCATTTTTTTCTGCTCTGCGCAGATAAAGACTGCAAAATTATATTTACAGAGGCATTATTTCCTAGGGCTATATGCATGCAGCTAGGTGCCACTGCCAGGGGTTGGCCGTAGTGGCAAGCACGACCGTGACAAAGTGCAGCCCCCATTGCTATTCTTACTTCTAAGATTGCCAGCATGCAGACTCAAAATCCAAACTTTGTGTGTGGCATGTGTCATGTGATTTTTAAGAATAAGGTTAGATGCCTGTTCATGTTGGCCTTTTGAAACCCCTTGCCCCTGTCAGGGAAGGGGCCTAGTGCATAGGACACTGGGGGCACACTATACTTCCTGATATAGTGTGCCATTTATCAGGGCATCAGGGGGGCATAAGGACCATTCCATTGCATCATGAGGTGCCTGCCGACCGCCATGCTGGCGACACCGGCCGGGTTCCGTGATCGATATGAGAGACCTCAGAGGGATCAGTCATGCATTGGTCACCTGCCTGATGTCGGACATCCCCTAACTGGTCATTTGGTACTGGGAGAATGCAGGAGCCATGCATTGGTACAAACAGATCCCTGATTGCTGCAGGTGTCCAATAACTGATGCATACACCCCAGTCCAGTACAAGGGTCATGGGTGAAGTGTGATGGAGAGGTATCTGTTTGGTACTGGGCTCCTTAACTGAAAAGGCTTCTGTTGTCTGATCCTAGACTCCCATCGTAAGCTTTTGTACCCGCTTTCATTATAAGAGAGACCCACCAACGCAGGAGGCTACTGGCATGTGGGGTCCGTTCAGCAAATGTTTCCGTAGCGGACCCGAGGTTCCTCGCTGACACAGGATACTGTTACGCACTGTGGGCGCCTGACCGGCGCACGGGCCCCTACTGTTCCAGGGGTCCCGACCCTCGACCGGGACCCTGCCTTGTCTCTGGTCGGGAAATAGGCCCCAGAGCTCAGAGCGACGCGAAGCCGATCGTTCGGTGTTGATGGTCCCTGGCAGAAATGGAGGCCCGCGTTGTTCCAGGGTGTGCCCGGTCGGTGTAGGAGACCCACTGACTGACATTTGAGGGCCTGTCCCTGCAGAAGGGGGTTCTTAATGCTACCTTTAGCCAGCCCTCCAATCGCCCACTCATTGTTGTCCCGAGGGGCCCTTCCGGCCCCTTTGCTGGCCCACTTAAACACTGCCCCAGGCCGACTTTGGGCTCCTGCCGGTACAGGACCGTTGTCAGGCACCGAAGTTTCCTGACTGACAAACGTGGCCCTGATCGACTCTCGAGCCCCGAACAGCATAAATTGCGGGTCCTGGCCTTGTGCCTGGTTAGGGAATGGGCGCTCACTCCCGGACCTGACGCTGGAGTAATCTGGTGGCGAATCTGTCGTGTGCCATAACCGTTAAGCCTTTCCACTGCAGGGATGTAGTTTCGCAAGACGGGAATTGGGGAGCTGGACTGAATGATGAAATGCATCCCTGAATACACTAAAAACCGGGTTTTCCCTAAGTTGACACACTTTCCCCAACGTCTTGGAATCGTGAGCCTCCCCTCCCCCCCCCCCCCAACTGAATAGGAAACTACAGCCCTGCCCCACTAGGCTTCCTCGCTGTGTCTAGCGAAAGATGTCGTTGGGCATCATCAGTATTTCAATGGGTGTCGATCGACAAAACCAGCTTTCGCTAATCGGCATGGGCTTGATGCGAAATTGAGCGAGCGAAATTTAGCTGGTGTCTCCATGACCTTGTGTACCTGTGAGTAATTTCAAATAAGACGGTGTGACATAGGTGGCATAAGTCGTCGTGCTCCGACCTCAAACGCAAGGATTTAAAGTCTTAAAACGGGTGTAACTTTGAACAACAGGGAATGATCGTGATACTAGCCATCTCGGTCCAAAATGTCCTACAAGTTGCAAAACCATCCCTCTAGACTTCCACTGCAAGATTTTACAGTTAACCTGAAATTTCACGATCGGATGAGGTGGGTCTGGGCGTACGCAACAAGCGCTGCTTAGCGTGGGGTCTGGACCCAGAAATCAATCTAGTGAAAGAACTTGGGCTAAATACAGGGGAAATGTGGCGAGCGCATTTAATATTGGGTAAAACATGTGCAACACACAATGCTGGCAAACATCACATTCAGTAATGCATCATTGTGCCCATATCTACATAATCAATGTGCTAAATGTCATGAGGAGGACGATGCTAGAAAACAAAGTATTGATACGAAACACAACGCCGTGCCAGTACATGCATATAAGTATTTAAGGACACATTATGTGGCCTTTTGGTTCATCTGTGTATTGTTCAATGTGGTCTGGTACTTTCTTTTCAGGTTTCTTCTAAATGAGGTTGTTTATCAACAGACAATCTGGACAATAACGGGCCGATGATCTCTGTTCGAGACCCCAAGGTAATAACCTTTTTAGTTAAACAGTGAACTGATGCCCTTTCTGTGTTTTGAATTATTGTTCATCACACTTATGCAGCTTAAATGATGCCTCCAAGCATTGTGCTCGCCGTTTCATCAGTGATTTCGTTCCCCAGGAGTTTATTCCCTATGGCAGGGGTCAATGCACGCGTCACCCCCGTGAAGTGGGCTTGCTGCCCTCATCGAGTGATGCTGACTCTCCCAGCGGTACCAGTGTACAGGTAATGCAATCCTGCCATTGGATACTGTAATTGTGGATTAAAAGCTGATAGCTGGAGCTACTGTTACCATTAGAAGGATTTGGTTTTAAAGAATGTTCAGCGTAACATTGAATCAGGGTGGCTGCGGAGACCGTTTATAAGAGGTGTCGATGGCTCTCTAAAATCACTACAGATTTAGCCTGAAATTCTGCATATTTGACCTACCAATGTGTTGCATTTCTATCCCAGACAAGGTAGCAGAAGCCGATGATATTGTTGTATTAAAAGAACGTTGGATATGCCTGTGACCATCCGGAACAATTTGAAATAAGTTACCATGACAGGTGATTGTCATAGTAACGGTTTATTCTCTCATGCTCTGGATGTCACAATCCTTTTGTGCGCGTGTGTGTTTGTGTGGCGACCCGCCGGCTGACTGTCACAGCCGGGACAATGGCGGCTGTATCTGCACACGGAGCACGGGACCGAGGTGGAGGAGGAGCTGTACACCGAGCACAACATGCTGGTGTGCAGTCGGGGAGTCGGGCCGCATCGCGCCTTCACCATGGACGCGCCCATCAACAACGCGCTCAGGTTGGTCCTGGCTCTGCAGTCTGAAGTGGGGGTATGGCATGGGCTGGTCGGCTGGTCTGGCCCTGAGTCTGGGGCTGGGTATGTCATGGCATGGTCGGCTGGCCCCAGTCCCACATTTTGGGGCTGGGTATGTCATGGCATGGTCGGCCGGCTTGGCCCTGAGTCTGGGGCTGGGTATGTCATGGCATGGTCGGCTGGTCTGGCCCTGAGTCTGGGACTGGGTATGTCATGGCATGGTTGGCTGGCCCCAGTCCCACATTTTGGGGCTGGGTATGTCATGGCATGGTCGGCCGGCTTGGCCCTGAGTCTGGGGCTGGGTATGTCATGGCATGGTCGGCTGGTCTGGCCCTGAGTCTGGGACTGGGTATGTCATGGCATGGTCGGCTGGCCCCAGTCCCACATTTTGGGGCTGGGTATGTCATGGCATGGTCGGCCGGCCCGGCTCTGAGTCTGGGGCTGGGTATGTCATGGCATGGTCGGCTAGCCCCAGGCCCACATTCTGGGGCAGAGTATGTCGTGGCCTGGTTGGCGGTTTGCAGTTTTGCCTTGGCTGAACTTGATCCATTAGAGTTGGTCCTGTAAACCCAGGCGGCTGTCTGTCGACTGGCACAGACCGCAGAAGATGTAAACTAATCTGGCTATAGAAGTCGTGTCGTCCTGCTACCCCAGTGGATGTGCTCTGTTTGAGTACATTCGACCTTGCCTTTGCATCTGATGCTGAAGCTGGCGGCCCAGCAGTGACCTGCCGTGATCTGCGTGATCTGCCGTGATCTGCGTGATCTGCGGCCCAGCAGTGACAGCAGTGATCTGCCGCTCAGTGGCCGGCTGCCGGACCCCCGGTGGCCGACTGCCGGTCGGCGGGCGTGACCCGGCGAGCCGCGCCGAGTGACCACGCCCGCCTGCGCCGCCGCCAGGTGCGAGTACACGTCCACAGCAGCCGCCCACGTGCTGAGCGAGAGGCCACCGCAGCCGAGCGACGCCAGCGAGCGGATCGCCGCTCTCAGCTGCGTGTCGGCGGCGGCCGTGCACAGCTGGACGGACGACGGCGAGCACTTCATCACTCCGCTGCCATTCCAGGTGACGGCTGGCGCCTCCACCCTGAATGGTAGCGCGTGTCGGTACCCTGTCATACCCTGACAGGGAGAACGCCACTTAATTGGCTATTTTGGTTTTGTTATTGGGGATGCTCGCAGAGTGCGAAGATATTTGGCCTTTCCTTCAGTGGCCATTGCAGCTGAGGAATTAGGCGTAACAAACAGTATGCTTGACTTACATGTGCACTGTTTTTATAGTTGTGAAATGTTACTGACTCCATGCGACGGAGATTCCAAGTACTGTAATAGAATTAACAGAGCCGTTACATTCGCACGATCAGTTCTGCCTCCTGGCACCAGTTAGGACCCAATGTGAAAGGATGTAAATCAGTGGAACTCGAACATTTGCTTATGCCGATTTAAACGTCTAAAGTATTTCCCTGCCCAAGGATGTAAAGGGACAGCCCGCTTGTGAGTTCCAGCAAGTTTCGATTTTTTCTATTTCCTCGCTGGTCTCAGCCTCTCTGGTCGGACAGTGTATGGGTGTGAGTGCTGTTTGCCGGCACGACGGTGGTGGCTGGTGCGACAGGTGCGGCGGCTCTGGAGCATGCACGAGGGTGTGTTGATCGAGCGCCAGGTCACCGAGGGGGACAAGCTGCCCACCCTGTTCTCGCTGCTGCACCCGCTGGACGACATCGCACCACTCATCACCCGTGTAGGCGAGTCGGGCCCTCTCCCTCCCGCCCCGCCCCGCCCCGCTCCGTCCCAGACGGCAGCTCTCCTTACGTTCAGCGATATGGTCTCACTGCAGCGGTCATTGTACAACAGCCATGTAACACTCACAACGATTTGAGCGTGGTCGTGGCCATGGTGTTCATTTGTGCGCTGTCCGTTCAACGTAGGCAGCTGGATGCGCCGCTCAGCTGACTGGCTGCGGTGTTAGTGGTGTAGTGGTTAAGCTGCGCGTCTGGGGGGACTAGAGATACTAGGTTCGGTACCCCGCGATGCCCGCCCTTCCTGCCAGGTGTGAGAGGCAGGCGACGCCATATAGCCGTCAGGTGCTGCAGCTGAGCGCATCGTAAAGCGCCAATGATGAGTACGGAGCTGACTGACGCCATCTGGCCATCAGGTGCCTGCGAGCCGTCGCTGGCCACGGGCGGCCAGGTGTCGGTGGTGCTGGTCTGCCGGCAGCCGTCGCTGTGCGTCACCTATGACCAGCAGACGGGCACACACACCGTCTGGAGAGTGCGCCGCACCGAACCGGAGGTCAGTTATCGGCCGCCGTCCCTAGCCACCGGCCCTGACGCGGTTTTCGAAAAATCAGCAGTTTCGGTGGCAGATTGTTCCCTTTTTTTGGACGATTTCGGGCTGTCGGTTTTTACTCTTTTCTTTATTGCAGCCTCCCGATGTTGGTTATCCGAGATCTTGGAGCGCTGGTGGAGGAATGGCGTGGTACATGGTTATAGTTATGGAACCAAAGCAAAAGTTGGGTAATCTATCAAGTAGAAAATCCCGTTATGTAGGTTTCTGATAGGGGTTTGGCCCCCAAAATATCAATGGACTGGTTTTTCTGCTAGATTTGCGAGTGTTGGTTGGTGGTTTGATGGGTGAATTTCCAGTACAATCGCACGGTCTTCCCCATAGGTGTATTTTTGATCGTCTAAAGAACTTCCTGTATATAATATAGATGGTTTACAACTTTTCGTAGGGGTGACATCGGCCGTAAAGGACATGGTATTGTGCTATATTTGACCCTTTGTTTGTGATTCCGAATCTGGTATGGGGTGAATTAGAGTTGAAGCGTGGGCTATCTTCTGCTATATCAAACGCTTTGATCTCCGTTTTGTTTTTACTGTTTTTGTGCTTATCTGGAGACTTCAAATATTACATTTTGCGATTTTCTGGTAGCAGAACAGTAAGGTTTACGCGTAAGTGTTTAAGTCACGTAGCAGTGTCTGTGATGAAAACTTCAAATTAAAACCTTCGTTATCAATTCAGGGCATGTGGGAATCTCTAGCATGACTGAGTTGTGAATGGAGTGTATTTGTACATTTAGAATTTACTGTTCCAATCAGTGCACGTATGTATTCGTAAAAAGTGTCCATTGATGGCTGAACCGGCTCGCAACGTCACCACAACAGGCTAGCGGTTCCATACGGCTAGCGCTAACCAATTGACCTGAAGCTACCCGAATAGCAGAAAACCAACCTTGTTCACATTTTGCTGAAGCGATTTTGACACAACGGCCGACTGTTGCCGCCCAGCGCATGACACACGTCGCCGACACATACCTGACAGGCGACGGGCGTCGGACGACAGGCCGGGCCCGCTGGACCGCCCTCCAGGCGAGGGCGTCTTATGCGCACGTGATCGGCGGGACCTGACGGCCGAGCGCCCGTGATCGGACCGCGAGCCTGAGCCTGACCGGCCGGCGGAGGTGACGCCCGACAGAAGAGAGCCGAGCTGACGTCGAGCGCGCCTGGGGCCGGCAGGAGTGGTGGACGGCGGACGGCGGCGAGCTGACCATGGCGGCCACGCCCCACTCGTCGCGCTGCTCGCAGCCGGCCTCGGTGGGCCCGTCGCCCGGCGGCCCGCTCCGCTCCGAGTCCAACACGCCGCTGCCGCGCAGCCGCAACAGCAGCCGGCTGAACGCCTCGGCGCTGCACTACTCGGCGGGGCCGGCCGGCCTCAGGTCAGCCGGCGCTGGGCGGTCACGCCCGGCGGCTCTGCCGCGCGGGTCAGACGGCTGCCCTCGGGCTCAGATGACTGTCTCTGACGTGTCATCAGGCAGCTGCCTCCAACTGTGGTCAGACGGCCGCCCTCGGGCTCAGATGACTGTCCCTGACATGTCATCAGGCAGCTGCCTCCAACTGTGGTCAGACGGCTGCCCTCGGGCTCAGATGACTGTCTCTGACATGTCATCAGGCAGCTGCCTCCAACTGTGGTCAGACGGCTGCCCTCGGGCTCAGATGACTGTCCCTGACATGTCATCAGGCAGCTGCCTCCAACTGTGGTCAGACGGCTGCCACGGTCATGTACGGCTGCCTCTGTCGTGCAGTCAGATGATTGTTCCTGTCATGTGTTCAGATGGCTGTTTGTGGCACGTGATCAGACGGCTGTCTCTAACTATGGTCAGATGGCTGCCACTGTGATGTAGTCAGATGGCCGCCTCTGTGATGTAGTCAGATGGCTTCCTCTGCGATGTAGTCAGATGGCTGCCCCTGTGATGTAGTCAGATGGCCGCCTCTGTGATGTAGTCAGATGGCTTCCTCTGTGATGTAGTCAGATGGCTGCCCCTGTGATGTAGTCAGATGGCCGCCTCTGTGATGTAGTCAGATGGCTTCCTCTGTGATGTAGTCCGATGGCCGCCTCGGTGATGTAGTCAGATGGCTTCCTCTGTGATGTAGTCAGATGGCCGCCTCGGTGATGTAGTCAGATGGCCGCCTCTGTGATGTAGTCAGATGGCTTCCTCTGTGATGTAGTCCGATGGCCGCCTCGGTGATGTAGTCAGATGGCTTCCTCTGTGATGTAGTCCGATGGCCGCCTCGGTGATGTAGTCAGATGGCCGCCTCTGATGTATCAGATGGCTGCCCCTGTGGTGCGGTCATATGGCTTCCTCTGTGATGTAGTCAGATGGCTGCCTCTGTGATGTAGTCAGATGGCCGCCTCTGTGGTGCGGTCAGATGGCTTCCTCTGTGATGTAGTCCGATGGCCGCCTCGGTGATGTAGTCAGATGGCTTCCTCTGTGATGTAGTCCGATGGCCGCCTCGGTGATGTAGTCAGATGGCTTCCTCTGTGATGTAGTCAGATGGCTGCCCCTGTGATATAGTCAGATGGCTGCCCCTGTGATGTAGTCAGATGGCTGCCCCTGTGATGTAGTCAGATGGCTTCCTCTGTGATGTAGTCAGATGGCTGCCCCTGTGATGTAGTCAGATGGCTTCCTCTGTGATGTAGTCAGATGGCTGCCCCTGTGATGTAGTCAGATGGCTGCCCCTGTGATGTAGTCAGATGGCTTCCTCTGTGATGTAGTCAGATGGCTGCCCCTGTGATGTAGTCAGATGGCTGCCCCTGTGATGTAGTCAGATGGCTGCCCCTGTGATGTAGTCAGATGGCCGCCTCTGTGATGTAGTCAGATGGCTTCCTCTGTGATGTAGTCCGATGGCCGCCCCTGTGATGTAGTCAGATGGCCGCCTCTGATGTATCAGATGGCTGCCCCTGTGGTGCGGTCATATGGCTTCCTCTGTGATGTAGTCAGATGGCTGCCTCTGTGATGTAGTCAGATGGCCGCCTCTGTGGTGCGGTCAGATGGCTTCCTCTGTGATGTAGTCAGATGGCCACCTCTGTGATGTAGTCAGATGGCCGCCTCTGTGATGCAGTCAGATGGCTTCCTCTGTGATGTAGTCCGATGGCCGCCTCTGTGATGTAGTCCGATGGCCGCCTCTGTGATGCGGTCAGATGGCTTCCTCTGTGATGTAGTCAGATGGCTGCCTCTGTGATGTAGTCACTCGGCCGCTGCTGACTTTTCCCCCTTGCCTTTGAGCGAGTCGGGGTGTTCACCGATTCATGGACGTATGTGCTTGTGTAAAGCAGCGCACCTACCAACACTCAACACGCCATCGGCATAAGATGAAATCACGGATGGTTCGCGTTGTTGCGTAAAAAAATCGCGAATATCAACTTATCTTGTTGTATTTGTGTACCAGGTAGAAAAAGTAAGAGGAGGATAAAAGGGCAATGGCAACAACCCTGACACACTTAGTTATAATGCACGCACAAGTTTGGTAAGTTAAAGAAATAGCTCTAGAGTGCGGAGCTGACCTGGGTCATCCCTAGTTAGTGTCAACCCGTCTCCCTGACCACAAATGCGTGCCCCCGCCCATGGTGACAGCATGGCATGTGTCAGCTTGTCAGTGCCTGAGGTGGGCGCGATGTGGCGCCAGCGTGACGCGTGAGTCGATCTTGTGCGGCTGGTGTGTGACTGCCGTGTTTCAGCCGGTCTCAGTCGCCCAGCGTACTGGCTGCGTCGGCCGGCACGGCCTCGGCGGCTGGCGTGTGACCGTGCCGTGTTTCAGCCGGTCTCAGTCGCCCAGCACGACCTCGACGGCCGGTGTGTGGCCGTGTCGTGTTTCAGCCGGTCTCAGTCGCCCAGCGTGCTGGTCGCGTCGACCGGCACGGCCTCGTCGGCTGGTGTGTGACCGTGCCGTGTTTCAGCCGGTCTCAGTCGCCCAGCACGACCCCGGCGGCCAGTGTGTGACCGTGCCGTGTTTCAGCCGGTCTCAGTCGCCCAGCGTGCTGGCCGCGTCGGCCGGCACGGCCTCGTACCTGCGGCTCTGCGTCAGTCCGTCGCCGCAGCGGCCCGGCTCGCTCACCAGCGCCTCGCTGCTGGACGAGACGCTGCTGGAGCCGGGCGAGCCGTTACGGCCCGAGATCTGCCTGCAGCACCTGTGGCGCGACTCACTGGCCACCAGGTGAGGCGGCTGGCTCGTGCGCCCCCCTGCCGGCAGCGGCGTGCGCTAGCTCTCAGATGGCGGCACTCTCTCCTTTCAGCCGGCTGCCAGCAGGTCCTGCTGCAGGTCATGCTGACACACCGCGTGGTCCACCTCTAAGCTGGCACCTTGTTTCGGCGATTTCTTACGCTTAGCAATGGTTGTTTTGTGAGCCTTGACCCCTGCCATCGGAGCATACAATTCCCGGTCAGCGCAGGCTTTGGTGGGCAAAATTTAACGTACCACTGTGCTCGGCACGGTCCACCCTGCCATCAACATCACCTGACCTTTAGCGCGGCCGCTGCCATCGGCCGGAGGTCATATCTGTCAAGGGCAAATAGCGAACGCCTAAAGCGACTCGAAACCACCCCGCCACGCGTGGATGGATCGGAAGGCAGGCGCTCTAACCAGCTGAACCATCGGGGCGAATAGCCGTGCGGGTTGCCGTGGAGGAGGGTGTCTTTCCATTTTCAACCGCTGGCTCGTCTACTGCTCCATCGGTCCGTATACAGTGGGAGGGCCTTCACTGGCGACCTGTCGGGCGCGCGTTCACCAGTGCTGGTGCTGTCTGATGTTCCAGTGAGCCGGCCCGCGGCGGCTTCCTCACTGGTGACCTGTCGGGTGCGCTTTCACCAGTGCTGGTGCTGTCTGATGTTCCAGTGAGCCGGCCCGCGGCGGCTTCCTCACCAGCGACCTGTCGGGCGTACGTTACGTGGTGCTGGTGCTGTCCAGCCGCGGTCAGCTGCGCCTGATCCGGCTGGAGCCGGGCGCCGACGGCTCTCAGCACGTGCGCGGCCTGGTCAGCACGCTACCCGGCCGCGACGCCGTTCCCATAGCGGTCAGTGGAGCGGCCCTGCCGCCGTCTTTCTCGGCCGAACCTCGGTCGCCTGTGACGGCCGGCTATAGTGGCGGCTGTGACCAGCTCAGTGCACGCTGTTGCGTTTCCGTTTTGTGGCAGGTTCTGCGGCCGGAACGAGTGCGGGGGACGTCACACGGCGGGGAGGAACGTGGCCCGCGTCGTCTGCGGCAGGTTACTGACTGTCAGACGTTAGGCCACAGCTTTACCACACTCAATTTCAGGCAATGCAATGGCTTCTCGGCTTGAATTTAATGTCGGCGAATGTTACCGGGAGTTGCGCCGCATAACACCGCCCTGTCCCATCCGCGGGGCCCTTAGCTGCAAGCAAGTGATAGATGGTCTGACCTGGACCCTACAGTCATATCGTAGAAGGCTTGGAGCATTCCATATCTGCAAAAGTAGAATGGCCGCCTTGGCGCCAAAGATGAGGTAACGTCACCCAATTTGGCGTGACGTCATACTTTGGTCAAACGTCGAGGACCGCTGACCTGCTGCAGGGAGCGGACTGAACCGCAATCTAATAAACATGGCCCTGCTGTTATGGTGTTACGGCTTGGTAGCGCCCGAGGTTCGTTACATGAGGAGCCTCAATTAATCAATCCCGTGTATCCGCAGACAAATGATTGAGTGTTTGGTTGTCGAAGGGGTTCACAAACGGAATATTTGGTAAATATCTCGTGTTTGGCAGATCCCCGTGTCTCGTGCATCTTGTGCACCGCCCGTTCCGTTTCCGTCCACATTTCGCTGTGACCGCCTAGAACCTCACGAGCATGCGTTTGCACAGCGTGACCGACGCCTCCCACTACAGGTGACCAACACGATGCTCGTGGTGGACCAGTCGGCGTCGCTGGTGCTCTACAGTGGTCTGTTCCGGCTGTGTAAGGTTCACGTGCCGGGCATACCGCCGCCTGCGCTCAGCCTCAGCCTGACACTGCCGCCCAGCCTGCCGGGCTCGCCATTCTGCCCTCCACGGTACATGTGGGATCTGTCGTGGTGCGAAGCCCACCACTGCTCCTCCGCAACACATGTGGGATCTATCGTGGTGCGGAGCCCACCATTTCCCCCGCGGCACATGTGGGATCTATCGCGGTGCGAAGCCCACCATGGCTTCTCCGCGCTACATGTGGGATCTTATATTATCCCGGGTCGCCGCTCGTTCCTCTGCTATTAGTACATGGATCTCCTGATCTGTCTGGCTTGCCGTTCTGCTCGCGTTAGCGCGTCGCCGTTACTGTCTCGACCGGAGCCCCTGACCCCCTCCCCTAGTAGTGGTCAGACAGTCACGTAATTGTAGCCACAATAAAATGGCGGTTGACTCCTCCAGTGCTGCTTCACCGAGACATGACGGTTTTCTTTCGTTTCCTCTTCTTTTTTAGGTGGTGTTCAATCTGATATAGATATATCGATAGTGTAGTCATTGAGCTGCACGTCTGGGAGACCAGAGGTACGGGTTTCGATTCCCCGCTGTCCCCGCCCTTCCTGCCAGGGTGAGAGGCAGGCGACACAGTTAAGCCTCAGGAGCTGAGTGCGTCGTGAAGCGCCGACGGCACGTGGACGCAGTCCGATGGCCATGTGTTGCCTGCTCGGTGCGCGGCGAGTGACCACCGGTGCCGGGCCGCCAGGAGGAGCAGTCTGGTGGCGAGCGGCCGACCCGGGCCGGGCCTGGAGGCGCGCTTCGATGACGCCCTGTCGCTGACGCTGTCCCCGGTGCGGCCCGAGCCGGAGCTCCGCGACCCGTCGCCGCACAAGTAAGCCTCGATTGGCCGGCGTAAGCTGCTGGCGGACCAGCACCAATCGGTTGGTGCTGGCCGCTGGTGAGCCCCAGTCGGCGGGCTCAGGGTGCTGGTGGGCCTGATTGATTAGTGCTGTGTGCTGGCGGGCCCTGATTGGTCAGCGTTGTGCGGTGCTGGGCCCTGATTGGTCAGTGCTGTGTGCTGGTGGGCTCTGACTGGTCAGCATTGTGTGCTGGTGGGCCTGATTGGTCAGCGCTGTGTGCTGGTCGGCTCTGACTGGTCGGCACTGTGTGCTGGTGGGCCCTGATTGGTCATCGCTGTGTGCTGATGGGCCCTGATTGGTCAGTGCTGTGTGCTGGTGGGCGGTGTCCAGCCAGTTGCCGAATGTCCGGGGTCACGCTTAGTGCTGGTCATTCTCATGCACGTTCTGTGCTTGGCCGACGAATACGTAGCTGATACGACAGGTGCTGCTACTGGGGGCTGGACATGCATGGCACGCTTAGCATGCGCGTGGTGAGCTTCCTGCTGTCCGACGACCGTGGGGTGTACGTAAATACTAGACTGCACCCTGTCGTCCAGCTTTCTGGCGATGTGATCCGTGTCATCAAAACGGCCACTATGAGCCGAGGGCACACCAGCACACTGTTTTTTGGATCCATTAGGGAGCTGTTGTGACGTTTACTGGCCGGTCCAAAGGCACTGGTGAGGACTTGGCCACCGTTTCGTTGGGCCGTCCGGAGCTGATGTGAAGCTGTGGCGGCAGGTTCGACAGCGCGGGCCAGCAGGAGGACGCCACCATGCCGCTGTCGGGAGCCGTGGCGGGTTTGCGTGACGTAGTGGGAGACGCCGTTATCATGGTGGGTATTTCATAGTCAAGAACTTCACTGTCATCTTGTCCTTTTATTCGTGAATATTTGACCACGTTTTTCATCAAGTCACCGGAATATGAAGCTCAGTACATGTATTGACGGCCATAATCCACATAAGTCGTGAATATTTGATCACTTTTGCATAAGACGACGGGGATATGAAGCTCAGTGCATGTATTAACGGCCCAGCAGTCAAACTATCCTCGTGCCAGGGCTTCCGTGCTGCGTCTGGCCAATCGCTCGCCGTTGAGAGAGCGCAGTCCGTGCTCCGTAACGTCGGCTGGGCTGCGGTAACGTGACGACGACTGTCCGTGGCCAGGAGCACACCTCCGGCTGCCTGTACCGGTTCCGGGTGCCGGCTCCGGCCGACGCCGGCACCGTGGCCGCCTGTCTGCGGGCGGCGCGCGCCGTGCTGCCGCGCGAGCTGGCCAATCAGCTGACGGCGCGCTGGTACACCGCGCGCCACGCGCCCGGCGCGCGCCACTTGCCGCCGGCCAAACAGTGGCGCGCGTTCGCCGCCACCCTGCTTCGTGAGTGTCGGCCGGGGGAGGTGGCGGCGGCGCTGCTGCCGGAAAGGCACCGCTTCACGGATAGTGATGGCAGTTCACTGGTTTTGCCGGTTTGCCAGTTACCGGTTACAGTTACGGATATGAGGATGGCAAACCAGCTTTCAGTCAGAAGCCGGGGACGTTCCCAGCCTGTGCATATATTCATGTGATCACAGCAATTCACGTGAGTTATGTTATGGTGTTTTGGTAGATATTTCGGGCCTCTCGTCGTGCTAACGGACATGACTGGTTTGATGGGTGCTGGGAATACTGCGTGGCTGTGACTGGTGTGGCTGGCCCGGTGCGCCGGCAGTGCCATTCGCTGTTTAGTTGCGTGGCCTGTTTGTGGCTGCTATGCTGGCCACACCACCTGGCCAGACAACTGAGTGGTGTGCGGGTCTCTGTTCAGTAATGTGGCCGGCCACACGTGTGACTGGGGTGTGGGTCTCTGTTCAGTAGCGTGGCCGGTCACCTGTGTGACCGGTGTGCGGGTCTCTGTCCACTAGTGTGGCCGTCCACACGTGTGGCTGGTGTGCGGGTCTCCGTTCAGTAGTGTGGCCGTCCATACGTGTGGCTGATGTACGGGTCTCTGTTCAGCAGTGTTGCCGGCCACACATGTGACTGATGCACCGTTCACTGGGCGGCCTGTCGCCAGGCATGATGGGGTACCAGGTGGAGCGACTGGCCATAGCCGCCCTTCTGGACGTCGCCGGGCCCAGCGTCTCGCACCAGCGCGGCAAACGGTGCCGCTCTGAGGACGGCACGGACGAGGTAAGTCGGTCCAGATTCTGCCAAATATGCACACTCCCGCTCTCATCGTGCTGCAACTGAATGTATATTTGCCAACTTAAATAAGCATGCTGCTTCCATTCAGTAGTGTTGTGTTTTCGTATGAAATGCGTAACCACACCTGTGTTTCCATCAGCGGCACACATGAGCCCACGCGTGTTTTACGGACAATAGCTTGTTTCTGAATGTTTGTGGAAGGAGGTCTTGCCGTCCACTGTCGGTTGTACACCTGCCAGCCGAGTCATCTGATGCCTGATGGCAGCTGCTGCCCTCACGCGCGTGCGTGTACCTGCTGCCAGGATTGGGAGTTTTTGTTGTCGTCTGAATACCACGCCGAGGTGGAGGCCGAGGGACGCGCGGCAACGTCCGTTGCCACGGCCGCTGTCGAAGGCCGGGTGGATGTCACTGCGCCACTGTTCCCGCACATGGCCACCCTGCTGTTTGTGCTGCACCTGGTGTATGAGGTGAGGACCGCGCCTTGGTCTGTGACACGCACAATCGGGTTATCTTGGCGTGACTCTCGTCTGGTACTGCAGACATTGCAGTCGTATGATGCAGGTAGTTATATTATTAGTGATTCTTTGACCGCTTAATGGCCAAGTACTTCAGCATCAGAAGCTGTGTGTGCGCGACAAGTCCGTTAGAAGCATAGCAGAACTGCAGACTGTGAGCCGGCCGCCTGGTGGCAGGACTGCAAGCTGGACACGCTGAGCGCGGACGTCCTGCCGGACATGGCGGCGGTGCTGCAGCAGCTGGCGCTGGAGCTGGGGTGGGCGCCGTACGCCGACCACTACTGGCGGGACTGGCCGGGCCAGTGTCAGGCCGGCGCCGACCTCGCCAGCCGCCTCAGCGTGCAGGTGAGGCGGTAGTCGTCCTGCGTCCGGCTCGGTCCGCCCCCAAGTCTGTCAGCGCTTGTCGTTGGCGCGGCGGTCGACTGGGTCGACAGATCTTGTTGCGTCTTAGGTGGCGAGGAAGCGGGACGGCTGCGGAGACACCGTGCTGATGTTCTGGTGTGCCTGCGACGAGATTGCTGCAAGGTTAAGCCATTGGTGATCCGTGCAGTGCAGCTCAAGAGCGATGCAGGCAAGTCGTCAAGATCATTGCTGCCATCGAATACAGACGTGACCTCCTCGTGGCGTCGCCTGCCGTGACCCGACTGTGTAGCGTGGGCTGAGTGCCGCTGGTGTCGCCTAAGGCCGGTGCGCCGGCGGCGCTGGTTCAACAGCGGGACGCCTGACGTCGCCGGTCTGACCCGGCCGGTGTGTCACCGGCAGGACCGGGCGGCCGTGCAGCCGGCCGGCTTCGTATCCGTCCGTCCGCCGGACCTGCTGCTGTGCCTGGAGGGAGCCGCCGTCCCGGCCGCCTACCCGTATCTGGTCGGCGTCAACGACCTGTCGGTGCACATGATCATGGTGCGTGCTCGGCGGTCGGCGGTGGGGGCAGCTGGCCAGTCGTGGCTCCGCGCCGCTGGGCGACTTGTGAACGGAGTGCTGATGGGAATTGGCTTGAGCTGCCGCGGCATCGCATATGCCCGGCAGTAATGGCTGGCCGAAATGGGGGACGGTACATGGGTGTCTGGAAGGAGTACACGTCCGTCTGGGGTGCGGTACCTGTCCGTCTGTGAGTGTGAGAGGGGGGGGGGAGACCGTGGGTCTGGGAGGCCGTACGTGTTTGCTTGCGAGGCAGAAGGCAAGTCGGGGACGGGTGGCACGTACGCTACGCACCTAAGAATTAGTTGACGGCTGTTTGTGGGGAGTGGCGCACGCACGAGTGCATCGGATGTCACACGAGTATGGGAGGTGGCACACCAGTACCTGGGGGTGGTGCACGGGTGTTTGGGTACAGTATCGGGGTGTCTGGGAGACGGTACACCGGCGTCTCACACACGTGTGTGTTGAGGGTGGTACAGGAGTGTTCGGGAGGCTCGACGCGAGTGGTTGTGGTACGCGGTCAGAGCATTCAGGTGGTAGGGTATACGGATGTCTGGTAGGCGATGTATGTATATCGGGAAACCGCTCATCCGGGGGACTGCACACGCGTCTGGAAAACTGTACATCCGGGGACATTGTACGCGTCTGGAAGACGGTACATTGCTGTCAGGGGGCAGCACATTACATTACATTGCACGGGGCAGTACACGCGTCTGGGAGACGGTGCATACGGGGCCAGTACAAGCATCTGGGAGGCAGTACAATGTAGAGGCTGGGCGGCTGTATATGAGTGTCTGACACGTGGTACAGGAGTATTTGGGAGTCCGTAGGCAGGTGTCTGGGGGCGGCACCGCTGTCTGGGAGACATGCGATTGTCTGGGGACGCTGCACGGAAGTCTGAGATGTGGTTCGCGAGCAGCACCGAGGAGGCGTTCCATGCGGGTATGATGGTCGGTACCGAGTGTCCCAAAGTCAATGCGCGAACGCTTGGAACACGAGCGGTACACGAGTGTCCGGGCGGTACACGAGAGGGCGGTACACGAGTGTCCGGGAGGCAGTACACGCATAGGGGAGCGTGCGCGTATCCGCGAATGATACCTATGGTGTGCCTTGGAGATGGTGCCTTAAGTGGCGCGGTTCACGTGGGCGTTTGCGTGAGCGTCTGGCTGTCGGGCAGGTGTACGCGCTGCTGCGCGGTGAGCGGTCGGAGGGCCTGTCGCGGCTGCTGCGGACCGTGCCCGGCCCGGCCGCGGGCCCCTCCGGCCTGGAGCAGACGGTGCGGCAGCTGCTGGCCCAACAGCAGCCGCCGCCGCCGCTGCCCGGCCAGCCGGACCAGCTGCCGGACGAGCAGCAGCTGGTCGTCCGGCTGCTGGACAAGCTAGGTACGTGCTCGGTGCGCCGGCTCTGGCCTGCAAGCTAGGTGCGTGCTCGGTGCGCCGGCTCTGACCTGCTAGGTACGTGCTCGGTGCGCCGGCTCTGGCCTGCAAGCTAGGTACGTGATCGGTGCGCCGGCTCTGGCCTACTAGGTGCGTGCTCGGTGCGCCGGCTCTGGCCTGCTGGGTACGTATTCGGTGCGCCGGCTTTGTCCTGCAAGCTAGGTACGTGCTCGGTGCGCCGGCTCTGGCCTGCTAGGTACGTGTTCGGTGCGCCGGCTCTGTCCTGCAAGCTAGGTACGTGCTCAGTGCGCCGGCTCTGTCCTGCAAGCTAGGTGCGTGCTCGGTGCGCTGGCTCTGGCTTGCTAGGTACGTGCTCGGTGCGCCGGCTCTGGCCTGCTAGGTACGTGCTCGGCGCGCCGGTTCTGGCCTGCAAGTGATATCACTAGCATCTCCAGCTGCGGCCGACCACTGGTCGTTAGTGTCTGCTCTGGCCTACAAGCCATCACTGAATTAGAACATATCTGACTCAGAGCGTGCAGCGTCCTGACGTAGAGGCGATCCTGATACCTGATGCTACCTGATGCCTGATACCGTGATACTGGATACTGGCCAGGCTTCCAGTGCACTCGATTCTCACCTGAGAATGCCGCGACGGACGGATACGAGTGCAGTGTTTGGTCTGACATTTCGCCGTGACTGCTGCTTGGATATTGCGCTGGCGCCACTCCTGCAAAGTACTGAAAGTGGCTTCGCATAGATGTCTGCCGACAGGTCGTGGCACTGTTTTGAAGCTTGGCGTGCCAGGATGGGATGGAGGGCCCGACCCCGCGTTGACGCGTATGTGTTGCCGCAAGACGTGCGCTGCGAAGGTGGGCTGCGTGCGGCGGCTGAGTGGGTGCGGTGTCTGCCGACCGGCAGGGTACGGATGGTCCCGGCTGCAGCTGCTGCCGCCGGGCGTACGGCTCCCGCTGCTGCGGGCCGTGCTGCTGGTGCGCGCCGCCCCGCCGGCCGACTGCGCCGACTCGCTGTGCCGCCTGGTGGGTCGCGAGGAGCTGACGGGCCAGCCGGCGGCCGCCGCCCGGCCGACGGCGCCGGCCGCGGCGGCGGAGCTCGAGCCCGAGTGCGCGGACGGCCAGCCGGCCGGCTCCGAGTCCGCCGACGACGGTGAGTCGGTCAGCTGGGCGAGCGCGGTGCAGTGGCCGCGTCGGCCTCGGCCGCTCTCTGGCGGGGAACGGGGCTGGCAGCGGCCGGACACTCACCAGCTGTCGGCCATCCGGCAGGCCGCCAGTGGATCGACGCCGAGCTGGTGCGGCTGCGCTGGCCGGCCGACCACCGGCTGGAGGAGGCGCAGCAGCTGCTGCGGTCCAGTCGGCCCGTCTGCGTGGCGGCGCCGCCGCGGCCCGAGCTCTCCGACCACGAGCGGCAGGACGAGCAGAAGCGGCTGCTGTACGCGCTGTGCCAGCGCACCATGGCGCTGCCGGCGGGCCGCGGCATGCTGAGTCTGCACGCCGCCGCGCCGGTGGTGACGCAGCCGCTAGCCGTACCGCCGCTCTGCCTGACGGGCCGCGCCCCGCCGCGCGGCGCCACCGTCGACCTGGCCGACATGGACCTGCCCGTCAACATGAATGTCTGGCCCCACTTCCACAACGGCGTGGCGGCTGGGCTGCGCGTGGCCCCGGACGCCGCACAGATCGACGCCGCCTGGATCCTCTACAATCGGCCCAAGGTGGGGATGAGGGTGGAGCGGACATGCGTGGGCGTAACGGCTACAACTGGACTGTCGAGTTGAAGTGGCGTATTGGGTCCAATGACTTGTGAAAGCGCTAGCATCCGCGCTTAGTTTCGAATGCTGTTGTAAATGGCGTGTAGTTGAGAATGAATGAACGCGTCAGAGGTTTGTTGACGTTAAAGTTGAGTGAACGACGCGACATATACGTGATTTCCGCTACTCTTAAGATTTACAGGGTGTTCATGAGGAACACCGATAGTTACTTCACGATGGGACGTGTAATGCGTAGATTTGAAGTTTTGGGCAGGCTTGCAGCATGCGTTTGAACTACTTGCACGTAAGTGTCTGCAAAAGTCTTCACAATATTGTTATAATTTCCATAGTGTGGTGCGAACGTCGCGATTGCATGAATGTTGGTCTTCGGGTAAACGTGGCGCCGCGGCGTCCTGCGAGCTCTTTGTTCTACGAGCTGTTGTCCAGCTCCTACTGGTCGTCGGTCGTACCCCGGCTTGTGGCAATACGCCCGTGCGCAGCCAGTGTACAGAGGAGTGACGTCTCCGCCGGCGGGCCGGGCCGGGGTGGGGTGTGGTGTGTGCCGGTGTACAGAGGGGTGACGTCTCCGCCTGCGGACCGGGGTGGGATGCGGTGTGTGCCGGTGTACAGCGAGATGATGTCTCCGTCGGCGGGCCGGGGTGAAGTGTGATGTCAGCCGGGGACGCCACGTATATCCACCTGTGGCCAGACGAGCGCGGAGAACCCGGTGGAGCACGCCGGCTTCCTGATGGCGCTGGGCCTGAACGGTCACCTGGCCCACCTAGCTCGGCTCAACGTGCACGACTACCTGATCAAGGGCAACGAGATGACCTCCGTGGGCGTGTTGCTCGGCCTGGCCGCCTGCAAGCGAGGTGAGGGGCACGGTGGGGCCGCCGCGGCATCGGCGGCCGTCGACACGCCGCTGCTCCGGCCCTGGCCTCGTGATGCTCTGGTACCGCGCGGGCTGGCAGAAGGCGGAACGCGAGTGGACGCACGCGTTGTGATCGTTACTGCACTGCTAACGGCTTGAACTCCGAGTATGCACATGTGGGAGATGTATGGTGGGCGTGCATGGTCTCGATATGTCCCATGTCCGTTCCCCTGTCCGCGTTATCCGCCACGCCTCGTAGTGAGTTGTGGAGGATGCCGTGGCTCTGCGGATACGTGGTTTGCTCTGCCTTGCCGTGGGGACGCGGTTGGATTTGGATCCCAGTGAGAATTGAACTTGTTTGTCCGCGGTTTTGTACAAGACCAGAACACTGTTCTCTGGTCACGTGTAGGCACCATGGACGTCAACACGACCAAGCTGCTTAGCATTCACGTGGAGTCGCTGCTGCCGCCCACCAGCCGAGAGCTCGACATAGCCCACTCCATACAGGTGCGCGCGCGCACGCGAGGCGGTGGCACTCTCCTGGCGAACTGCCGCGCGGCAGGAAATGCCGAGCATCCGCGTCACCGCTCTGAAGGCTTCCTCTAACGTGCTTCTGAGTGCATGGCTGTGGTGTGTGCGTACGGACATGTGAACAACATATGAGTGCTTAGAGAGCTGTGATATAAAACATTTGGCTGTGAAGGGTTTAGGGTTCAGCTTTAGGGTTCAGTTTCAGTGGTCTGAGCCGCGTTCTTCACGTCCTCTCCCGTCTTCGCTTCAGTGTGGGGGGGGGGGGGCAGGGGAGTAAATTAATCGATGAATGTCCGGACCGCCGCATCGCTGCCGCTTAGAACAGGCTGACAGCGCGTAGCTGGTATCGCTTATGCACCGAGGATATACGAAGGGATGTTACAGGCTTTTATGGATTGCGTTCATTCCTTATTTATGAATTGCAGTCGTAAGACTACGCGAACGTGGCATATCTGCCGTCGATCCAGCACCGCGAGTACATTTAACGCCCGCGTTAAATGCGGTCACCGTCCTCTGCATCAAGGCTTTAACACTTTTCCCTCTGCCCGTGTCGGACTCAAACAAGGCCACTGTCGCTTGTACTAGGACTCAAATAACGGACCTGTCCTCTAGACCGGGCCCACGCATCCCGCCATTCTCCTTGCTACGCCCTGTCACCGCCCCTGCCTCCGTCTCAGCACGTGAGCGCCGGCCCCTGCGGCCATCGAGAGCCCGATGCCATCCGTGTTCCGTGCCAGGACGTCAGCAGCGTCGGCTAGAGTTCCAATACGAGCCGCGGTCGGGCAGGTGGCGGCCGTGCTGGGCGTGGGGCTGGTGTACCAGGGCTCCAACAACCGGCACATGGCCGAGGTGCTGCTGCGCGAGATGTCCCGGCCGCCGGGGCCCGAGATGGAGAACAGCTGCGACCGCGAGGCGTTCGCGCTGGCCGCTGGCCTCGGCCTTGGCCTGGTCACGCTTGATGGCGGCGGTGACCAGCTGGGCCTCACCGCCAGCCTGCACCAGCTCATCTTCGGAGGGAATAAGCCCCCGCTCACCGGTGAGTGGTGACCAGCTGGGCCTCACCGGTGGGTAGTGACCAGCTGGGCCTCACCGCCAGCTTTGTCTGCTTCAGTGCCGCACACTCGCTTTTGCATTAGTCAGGTTCGTGGTGAGAAGCTGTGATCGTTGTGTTATGCACCTGTTTTCTGTGTTGTGGCCCTAGGCCCTGGAGATGGTAGTTCGCAGTTTGTCGGCGAGCTCTTTCTCCCGTGTCAGTCGCTTAGAATGGCACGCCGGTCATCCAGTAACACAATGCTCGGTCTGATGCCAGGTCCGCAGAAGGAGAAGTACAAGACTCCCAGCTACCACATCCGGGAGGGAGACACTGTCAACACCGACGTCACGGCCGCCGGCGCCACTCTGGCGCTGGGCCTCATGTACATGGGCTCCGCCAACAGGTCAGAGGTGCTCCCGGGCACGGGGGATACCTGGACATGGGACCTCGTGTACAGGGGCTCCGCCAACAGGCCAGAGGTGCTCCCTGGGACGAAGGGATACCTGGACACGGGACCTCGTGTACATGGGTTCTACCAACAGGTCAGAGGTGCTCCCGGGGACGGGGGATACCTGGACATGGGACCTCATGTACATGGGCTCCGCCAACAGGCCAGAGGTGGTCCCGGGGACGGGGGATACCTAGACACGGGACCTCATGTACATGGGCTCCGCCAACAGGTCAGAGGTTCCCCGGGAACGAAGGGATACCTGGACATGGGACCTCATGTACATGGGCTCCGCCAACAGGCCAGAGGTGCTCCCGGGGACGGGGGATACCTAGACACGGGACCTCATGTACATGGGCTCCGCCAACAGGTCAGAGGTTCCCCGGGAACGAAGGGATACCTAGACACAGGACCTCATGTACATGGGCTCCGCCAACAGGCCAGAGGTGCTCCCGGGGCACAGAGGGATACCTGGACACCGGGCCTTATGTACATACATGGGCTCTGGCAGCTGATGACAGTCAGGACACAGGCAGGTAATGTAGCATGACCGATTAACGTGTGTTGATGCGCTCTTCGTCTGCGTGTGGTTTGCGGCATCAGAGTGGAGCGGCACCTGGCCACCGGTCGTTTAGCTGCCGTGTCCCAACGAGACGCCGCTATCTGACGTTACGTCCGCCAGAGCGGTGTCCGACTGGCTGCAGACGCCGGAGACGCTGTACCTGCTGGACCTGGTGCGGCCCGACCTGCTGCAGCTGCGCACGCTGAGCCGCGCGCTCGTCCTGTGGCACGAGGTGCGGCCCAGCCGCCAGTGGGTGGAGCAGCAGCTGCCGCCGCTGGTGCGGCCCGACCATCCGCCGCAGCCCGGCACCGACTGCCAGACGATCCAGTGAGTCGACCGGCCGGTCCGGCCCGGCCCGGCCCACTCGGCCCGGCTCGCTGGCTCGAGGCTCACGCGCAACTCGAGGTTTTTCGTGCGTGTCATGTTTCGACGCTGGCTCTGAACGTGGTATTCGGAAGGACTCCAGTGTGAGGAATGTGGAATCGCCCAGTTTATATTGGCATGACCCTTGGTCTGGACCACGTCTGCGGTGCATTGTGACCAACACCTGTTCTTGGAAGTCACCGTGCTTAGATTCTGAGTTTTCTGTGCTGTGCTTGCTGCAAACACTGCTGATGTTTCCTTTCCTGGTGCTTGTATTTAAGTATGTCTCATATCGATATCGATCCATTGTGCCGATTTTGTCATTGCCATTGCCATTGTTGTCAGAGATTTTGCCATTGTGTCCCTAGGCTGGCTGTGTACCCAGAACAATCTGTTACGTGCAGTAAATTTCTTCATACCATTGCAAGTAGATATCCCAGTAAATGTCTTCATACCATTGCAAGTAGATATCCTTTAAGGTATACCGCAGTGCTTTGTTTAGCTCCTGCAATCGCCGCTGTTTCCCATTCTCGACATGTCGAGGGACTACAGTTTCTGCACATCTGTAGCCCAGTATTCCATTGAGCTGTGCTGCCACGAGGCCAGCCCACCTGCCACGTGGGTGATTCTCAGTCTGATCCAGTCACTCTCCCCCAGGCAGGTGTACTGTCACGTGACGTCGGGTGCGTGCCTGGCGCTGGGCCTGCGGTACGCGGGCACGGCCGACCCGGACGCTTACCAGGTGCTGCTGCACTACACGCGCGCCTTTATAGCGCACACGACATCGGCCGTGGCCGAGGAGGCCGGCCGGCCCACCGTCGAGAACTGCCTCTGTGTGACGCTCACCGCACTGGCCATGGTGAGAATGCCTCTGCGACGCCCGTCATACTGGCCATGGTGAGAATGCCTCTGCGACGCCCGTCATACTGGCCATGGTGAGAATGCCTCTGCGACGCCCGTCATACTGGCCATGGTGAGAATGCCTCTGCGACGCCCGTCATACTGGCCATGGTGAGAATGCCTCTGCGACGCCCGTCATACTGGCCGTGGTGAGAATGCCTCTGCGACGCCCGTCATACTGGCCATGGTGAGAATGCCTCTGCGACGCCCGTCATACTGGCCATGGTGAGAATGCCTCTGCGACGCCCGTCATACTGGCCATGGTGAGAATGCCTCTGCGACGCCCGTCATACTGGCCATGGTGAGAACTGATTCCCGCATGACGCTGCACTGACCATGGTGATGTTCGCTTTTCGTGACGCTCGGTGCACCGGCCACAGTGAAAATTACCTTGTGTCATGCTCACTGCACTGAATATGGTGGGACCTGACAGCGATTCTCGCCGAACTGGCGCTGTTTCGGCTGTGCTGGCGGCTATTGGTCGGAGCGCCAGCCCGCGCCTGCGCTGGTGGGTGCAGAGGTGGCTGTCGGGCCGTAGCGCGTGTCGTGACCGGGCCGTGGCGTCAGGTGATGGCCGGCACGGGCGACCTGGAGGTGATGCGCATCTGCCGGTACCTGCGCTCGCGGGTCGGGCCGCACCACTCCACCGTCAACTACGGCAGCCACATGGCGGTGCACATGTCGCTGGGCCTGCTGTTCCTGGGCGGCGGCCGGCACACGCTCTGCAACAGTCGGCCGGCGGTGGCTGCGCTCATCTGCGCCTTCTTCCCGCGGTACCCGCTGACCAGCTGCGACGGCAGGTACGCTGACGGCGCCGTCCAGCGGCCGTGCCGCCCGCCGTGCCGCTCGCCGGCGACCGCTCATCGGTCTGCCGCCGGCGGCCGCCCGCCGAGCTCGGTGCGGTGCTGTGTTGAGTGGGCGCTGTTCATGCATGACATGACCGGCCACTGTCGTTAGCGCGGCCGATGTTGAGTCGCTGACGGTGCCGTGCCAGCCAGCCAGCCAGCTGGCTGAGCTTGCGCTGGCCGGACCGAGCCGCCGTCTGGTGTCCGCAGGCCGCCTGACCTGGCCGCCTCACTCCCCACCCACAGGTACCACCTGCAGGCGTTCCGGCACCTGTACGTGCTGGCGGCTGAGCCGCGACTGCTCGTGCCGCGTGACCTCGCCTCAGGCCAGCTCACGTACTGCCGCCTGGTGGTGACGCTGCGCACCGCGGACTCGCCAACCGGCCACCAGGTGGCTATGCAGGCGCCCTGCCTACTGCCGCAGCTGGACACGGTGCTGGAGATTCGCGTGGACGACGACCGTTTCTGGCCGTTCACCGTCACTTCAGGCGCCGGCGTCCAGCTCCTGGGGTAGGTCTCGCCAAACACCTCCACGGCCGCCGGGAAGGTCCCTGGCACTGGAATCAAGTGCGCTTGGATCCGCCTGGATCTCACGTTTTGACTGGCCTGCAGCCCCTGTAATCACGGTTTGTCGTGTTACGTCCTACTCTGTGACTGGCAGTACTTAAAATCCCGGTTTCTGCACTCTTGTGGCCTACGGAGGATGTTAATATATACGTTCCCACTAATTTTGTAGTGGGTGTCTGTCCCAGATGTCGCTCCATTGTCCACTCGCCGTGACATGTGCCGTCCTCTTTCTCGCGATTATATGCCCCTCTACTTATTCAGCGACTGGTAATAATGAGATGCTCTGTGGTATATAAAATTGTCAATAATTTATGAGATAGCCGTGTCTTATGTGACTTATGTGTTGTAACAGCAACAATCTCGAAAGTAGATCTAGTCTGGCTGTTTCCTTGGGCCGCCGCTCACCCTCACCCATACCCAGCCGCCTGTCAACGCCGTCGGGCTCAGTGACCCGCTGATCAGATGACGGTCGTGTGCCTGGCAGTGAGCGGCTGCAGTCGGGCTCAGTGACCCGCTGATCAGCTGATGGTCGTGTGTCCAGCAGTGAGCGGCTGCAGTCGGGCTCACTGACCCGCTGATCAGCTGATGGTCGTTTGTCTGGCAGTGAGCGGCTGCAGTCGGGCTCAGTGACCCGCTGATCAGCTGATGGTCGTATGTCTGGCAGTGAGCGGCTGCAGTCGGGCTCAGTGACCCTCTGATCAGCTGATGGTCGTGTGTCCGGCAGTGAGCGGCTGCAGTCGGGCTCAGTGACCCGCTGATCAGCTGATGGTCGTGTGCCTGGCAGTGAGCGGCTGTAGTCGGGCTCACTGACCCGCTGATCAGCTGATGGTCGTTTGTCTGGCAGTGAGCGGCTGCAGTCGGGCTCAGTGACCCGCTGATCAGCTGATGGTCGTATGTCTGGCAGTGAGCGGCTGCAGTCGGGCTCACTGACCCGCTGATCAGCTGATGGTCGTGTGTCTGGCAGTGAGCGGCTGCAGTCGGGCTCAGTGACCCGCTGATCAGCTGATGGTCGTGTGTCCGGCAGTGAGCGGCTGCAGTCGGGCGGCCGTCTGAATGTGAAGCGCAAGGCAGTGGGCGGGCTGCATCAGCAGGAGCTGCGAGCCCAGCTGACGCAGACGCTCGGGGGACCGGGCCAGGCCATCTGGTCCGCCCAGGTCAGCTTCCCGCGCCGGCCGCATTGTCAGGCGTGGTGCCGGCCGCAGTGTCAGGCGTGGTGCCGGCCGCGCTCGGCCAGAGATTATCGCTGCCGAGGTCCGGTGTCAGCGAAGCTGTGTTGGCGGATTACATCGGCATGTGGGTTACCATGGGTGTATAGGAAACCACATGGATTACTGGCCCAGTTGCTACTGTGTTGAGTGGGGGGTTACCTGGCCAGCTGCGGGCCGTTTGGCCGTCCACGCCTCACGAGCGGTGCCGTGCCTGTGACCGACGTTCCGTCGCGCCCCGCCGGCAGGCGGAGCTGCTGCTGAGCTCGGTCAGTCCGGCCGAGCAGCGCAGCCTGTGCCGCCACTTCCTGCCGCCGCCGGCCGGCGACGACCGGCTGCCGCTGCAGCTGCAGCTGGCCGCCCTGCTGCAGCTGTGCCTGGCCGGCCAGCAGGCGGAGCTGTTCCTGCCGGCCGTCAGCCTGCTGCTGGCGGCGCGGCGCGGCGTCGGCCTGCGTCCGCTCCGACTGCTGCGTCTGGCGCCGCCCGGCTCCACGCTGCGTCACATCGCCGACACGGCAGAGCTGGGCGTGCAGAGCGCGCTGGCCGACCGGCACACGGGTGCGGCCACGGGGTGCACCGCCCGCTCTGGCTGACGTCCGCCGCCGGACGGTCATCTTCAAAGCGATATGCTTGTGTTATTTGCTCGCGCAACGCAAGTGTGACGTCATGCATGTCGCAGTTCGTCGCAGCGCTTGTAGTGGGAGGTGAATCAGTTGGCCAGCCCGGTTCCAGCCAAGGCGGCACACAGTCATGGTGGGCGAGACTCCAGACGGACCTCGTCTCTCTCCCAGCCTTGTGCGCAGCCACGTATCTTGTGATTCCGGGGACAGTCAGGATTGAGGGTCAGAATAGCATTGCAGGGGTAAACGTAAAAAACGCACGCCTCAAAGAGACTTGGAGAGGAAAATCCAATTTTGTGGAGGTTGAAGGACGTGGTGAGGGGGGCTGCCGTAGCAGCCGTCTGGTTCGCTAGTCGTGCAGGCGCAGCTTCCGCGAGCGCCATGTTGCTCCGGCGGGCAGCGGCCGGTTCTGACGTGACCTTGTTTCAGAGGTTGGCTCCAGCCTGCTGGCGTACTTGACGGGTCGGTGGGCGGACGTTGGTCCTGACCAGCACCAGCTCTGCTCGTACCTGGGCTTCTTCAACGCGCCCGGGCGGGGCGATCTCTCCCAGCTATCTCAAGGTAAGGCCGCGCAGCATCCGCCCGCAGCCCGGGTTCCGCGGAGCGGGTCTGTTTTGTGACCGATGGGGTTGCTTTCCTGCCTGGTTCAAACCTTGACGAGGCTGCCTTTCGATGCGGCTTGTGTGACCCGCCGCCGTTGACATTGTGTGTGAGCGGGCCGTCCGGGCGGGACGGGATGCTGGTCGTGCCTGGTCTGGTGGTCCCTGCTCACCGGCCGCCGTCTGCCGCCAGACTGGCTTCGCCGGCCAGAGGTGCTGTTCACGGCTCTCCCGGCCGACGCGATGTCGGCCGCCGAGCGCGTGTCTGTGGCCTGCCTGCTGACCGGGCGGGGCGGCGCCCTCGCGTGACCCGTCTGGTCTCGGTCAGACGGCCCCCAGAGGCCAGCCACCCCGTGTCGGGAGGGCTCCTGCCGCGAGAGCGTCAGCCGGCCCCGCCTCTACCACGCCCGCCATCCGTCAGCAGGCTGCCGTCGTTACCAGCCGGTATGGGACGGGCCTCACTGAGGTTGTCCGTACAATGGCCGGTTCAACAATGGCCTTGTGTGTCACGCCGCCGTCCGCTGATGATGGTGCCCCGCGTCACGCCCGACACGTGATCCTGGCCGGCTGTGACCGGTCCGTTTTGAATGTACGCACCGGCCGCTGTTGTTCGTCTGCCGATCAGTGAAAATATATGTGAGCTCCCGTGCATGCATGCGTTGACGGGACCTTGTAAATGAAGAGTCGCCGTAAGATGGCAGTTTGGACGGCTGGCTTGGCCGGAGCGATCGGCCCTGGTCACCTGTACAGTCAGTTGGAATCTTTTTGTCAACGTTGGTGGGAAAATGCAGCAACAAACTTTGTACTGGCCGAATCAACCAACGGAAAGGCCAGAGTCCACTGAAGCCGTACATTCGTAGCAGCTCTGAATGGGTACCGGAGGTCGAAACAGCTGAGGTGGAGGTCAGGCATATGACGTGGTCATACGCAAGCATATTGGAATGGCAGATACTCAAGCCAAGTTGAATATCGTTTCGCCGTGCATGCACGCCAGCTCGGCAGTGCGGATATTAATGCTGCTGGCGGTCCTCGACGGATGGGCGTCAGAGGGTCTCTCCCCCACCCCCATTGTAAGACACCTTTACCGCGACGCTGCCGTCAAATGCTCACCTGTTCGCATGTACCGACGAACTTTGTTCTGACCGAATCAACCAACCAGAAAGCCAAAGTCCACTGTGGCCACACTTTCCCTATATTTGGCTCCCTGTCATCAGCCTCGGTTCGTGTTCAGACCAGTCGCACTCGGTTGTGTCGCTGGCCTCGGTCCCCAGTCTGGTGCGGCGCGGTCGCACATTTTACCGCACGCCGCGGACGGCGTCCACAACACCCGACCGGCCCATGCCGTACAGCCCGGCGCCAGCGCCACTCCTGTCCACGCATGACCGCTGCGTCACGCAGCGGCCGCCGACTCAGGGCGGCGTCGGCGGGCCCGTTGTGTCGGCGGACGGCTGTGAGCGGGCCGGGCCGGCGCCGCGCACTGCCGCCGGATCACCCTCAGCGGGCCACGTCGAGGAGCCGGGGGCCGCGTGCTGGCCCGCCGCCGGCTGACCGGCCGGACCCTGACACAGTGGGACGCTCGACTCCCGCTCTGGCGCAGGGCTGGCCGTCTCCTGCTGCGGGCACGACCGCTGGGCGGCTGGGCTGGGCTGTGGCGGCTCGGCCGGCTCCTCCGGCACGGGTACCGGCAGCACGCCGAAGTGCTCTGACGCAGCCGCTGCCTTGGTGAGCAGCAGGTTGTAGATGGGGTGGACCAGCTTCTGCAAGCGACACGCAGTCTGCTCACGAACAAGTCATCCGGTGAGACAAGCAACGGCCGGTCCAACGCAGCTTGCTAGCGGCCTTAGCAATGTGGCAGCACAATCCTTTAAGAGAGTTCCCAGCCATGCGGCTTCCCCCCCCCCCCCCCCCCAGCAATGCCAGAGTGATGTGAACGACTGGTCCGGGGCGCCGTGCGGTGCACTGAGCCTCTCCTGGTGGCTCACCAGCTGCACCACCAGCCCCCTCACCAGCTGCACCACCAGCCCCGCTCACCAGCTGGTTGTCCGCGCGGCCGACCGCCCGGGGTACGTGCCGCCGGCCCATGTGGAAGTTCTGGGCGATCGAGAGGCCGCTCAGCGCGTAACACGTGTGGTAGAAGTCACGGTGCCTGAAACACGAGCCATACCGTTGTCAAACGCCGTCCCTATGTTGCAACCTATGACGTCAAAGGAAGGTGCGTCACATTTTCTACGCCTCTGAGTACTCGCTATGTGTGGCTCCTTCACTTGTGACGTCATAGGTTACAACCTCAGGAAAGTCCTGTGCCAATGAAGAACTGGAGGTCTACATCAGACGAACCTGGCAGCAACATACCGCCGCACCTACCCGCTGCGGTCGGAGCTGTTACGGACCTTAGGAGGTACCTTCACTCGAGGATACTGTATAAGGGCGACGGGCAAACATTGGCTGCTTTCGAAATCGGTGTCATCCAGTGTTGTTCAACGTGTGGTCAAAATGGGTATGATCAAGTTTTAACGTTGGTACGGTTCAGTTTTAACGTTGGTACGGGCAAGTTTTAACGGCGGTACGGTCAAGTTTTAATGTAAGCGCGGTCAAATTTGCAAGGCCGCCGGAAGAAATCGCTTACAATGGGAACATGTCCCAATCGCGGTAATTTGAGCGAAAGTTGCAAACTTCCTAACAGACGCCGTCCCGCTCAACTTCCAATTTGCCATCGCTTGCCCCGATCTAAGCCAATACCGCCGGAAGCAGCTGCGCTGGACAGTCCTGGTCAGTCAATGGAGGGCGGCATGCCGCGCATCAAAATCGAGTACCACCACGACCGGACACGTCAGTTATGTAGTATCATACACAGTATCAGGTATTACATACGTCATACAGCTCGACCAGAAAGCCGCATCTTACAGCACACATCACCAAATGCGATCACTCACGTCATCTACCTGCTCCTGCCGTCAACACCAGCTGCTGTGGGAGATGGGTACGGCGGGGGCGGGCGGGAGACGGATAGAACGGGGGGGGGGGGCGTGGCAACACTCACTTGCCGGGTTTGTCGACAAAGCCGCCATGCGGCTTTTCGCAGCACAGCAGCAGGTAGTGCTGCAGTGCCTCCTGATGAAACATCCAGCGCTCGTCGCTCAGACTGTCCGAGCCTGCCAGCGAACAGACGAGTCATCCCAGCCGCACCGCTGAAGGGGCAGGACGAATCATCCCATCCACGGCGCTGATCGGGTATCCCAGCTGCAGCACTGATGGGGCAGGACGAGTCATCCCAGATACAGCACTGATAGGGCGGGACGAGTCACCCCAGCTACAGCACTGGAAGGGCAGGACGAGTCACCCCAGCTGCAGCACTGATAGGGCGGGACGAGTCACCCAAGATGCAGCACTGACAGGGCAGGACGAGTCACCCCAGCTGCAGCACTGATGGGGCAGGACGAGTCACCCCAGCCACAGCACTGACAGGGCAGGACGAGTCACCCCAGCTGCAGCAGTGATAGGGTAGGACGAGTTACCCCAGCTGCAGCACTGATGGGGCAGGACGAGTCATCCCAGATACAGCACTGATAGGGCGGGACGAGTCACCCCAGCCACAGCACTGATGGGGCAGGACGAGTCATCCCAGTTGCAGCATTGATGGGGCAGGACGAGTCACCCCAGATACAGCACTGATAGGGCGGGACGAGTCACCCCAGCCACAGCACTGATGGGGCAGGACGAGTCACCCCAGCTACAGCACTGATAGGGTAGGACGAGTCACCCCAGATGCAGCACTGATGGGGCAGGACGAGTCATCCCAGCCACAGCGCTGATGGGGCATCCCAGCTGCAGCACTGATGGGGCGGGACGAGTCACCCCAGCTACAGCACTGACAGGGCAGGACGAGTCACCCCAGCTGCAGCACTGATAGGGCGGGACGAGCCATCCCTGCCACAGCGCTAATGGGGCCCGCCCGTCCCACTGCAGGGCCAAACAGGCACACAGTCAATGCCGTCAGGCACAGAATATACCATCCTGGTATACAGAGGAGAGTTGGGGGGAGGGGGTGACTTCCACGCGGTCAACTCGGCCGTGCGGGGAGACAGAGGGCTCAGTGCGACTATGAATTGCTTGAGATGGCCCCATCGGCTTCTAGCTCTACCGAACGACCATTTAATCGACGGTAACCCCGTGTCTTGCCGCGTCAAACAACAGGTGCCGGCGCACCAGCCCGACCCTGACGGCATCGGCCGGTGCACCAGCCCGACCCTGACGGCATCGGCCGGCGCACCAGCCCGACCCTGACGGCATCGGCCGGTGCACCAGCCCGACCCTGACAGCATCGGCCGGCGCACCAGCCCGACCCTGACGGCATCGGCCGGCGCACCAGCCCGA